TTGTGTTTCTCTCATCCTTGGTATAAAAACAACAAGCCACACACTAGATTAGTAGCATCCTAGAACTTGAATTTTTGAGAGACAGATTCTGTTCCTTGTGGAGGTCAGATCATGTCTATCTGGCCCAGCCCTCATTGGCCATACAGTTTCCCTCAAAACTCACAAGCTAAATGGGATGGCAGTAGCTATTATTACCACCAATCTGTTTTGGGTTGTATCCAGTGTTAGTCCTTCTCAGAATATGGGCATAACTGAGCTCCCATTGCTGAGTCCCTGCTTCTGCCAACCTAGCAGTTCGAAAGCATGTCAAAGTGCAAGTAGATAAATAGGTACCGCTCCGGCGGGAAGGTAAACGGTGTTTCCGTATGCTGCTCTGGTTTGCCAGAAGTGGCTTAGTCATGCTGGCCACATGACCCGGAAGCTGTACGCCGGCTCCCTCAGCCAGTAAAGCGAGATGAGCGCCGCAACCCGAGAGTTGGCCACGACTGGACCTAACGGTCAGGGGGTCCCTTTACCTTTAACTTAGGTTCATTAATTTCAGTGGGTCTACTTAGCTGGATGCTATATGTATTATCCAGCTTCTGGTAATCCAAGATGCAGAACCTTTGAACCTGGCCATTTCCTTTTAACCAGTCTCTGCAATGACAACTTATCATTCTCTCTTTCCACACACAACTCATCATTCTCTCCCCCCCCCCCCCATTTATGAATTTTATAAATAAGGAACTATTTGAAAGAAATGCTTCCTTTGTGCAAGGAAAGTGGTTTGCTCTCCTGCACTACCTTATAACCACCTTATGCCATAATCACCCACCCAAATCTTTGTCTGTATTAGGTAACTATTCATTTTTTCTCTTTTATAGGTTCTCCAAACCATAATTTTGGAGGCTGTAGGAATGGTTATGTCTGCATCCTTGTTAACACCAGATCACTCAGAAAGCTAAAGTTGCAGGAGGCTTGGGGTGTCTGCACCTTGAGTTTTATTCTGCTTCCCCATCAAGGAGTAACCATTATTGCAGCAGAATAGGATTTGCCAGGTAGTTACCTACCATCTAACCTTCCCCACTCCCAGAGCAACCTTTGACAGATGGGTAGGGTGTAGGCAAAGTGCAAAGGCATTTGTTCCTCCTTAGGAACCGGGACCGTGGCATCAAAATGGCAACTAAAATTTGAACAAAAATAGAACTTGCCTCTTCATCCAGGACTTTTGGAGATGTAGACATCATAAAGGCAGTACCTTATACAGTATATTAATTTTTGCAATATTGGCTGGTTGGGGGAAAATGGTTGATGCTTGTTAATTTATTAAATTTATATCCTGCCCTTCCTCACAAAGGAGCCCAGAGCGGGAAAAGGTGATAAAAACATATTAAAAATCATTCCAGCACAGGTGGAGACTGAGAAAGCTCTCCACTTAAAAGGCTTGCTGGAAGTGGAAGGTCTTTAGTAGGTGCCAAAAATACAAGAGACTTCACTTGTCTAAAATTCAAGGGGAGAGAATTCCAAAAATCAGGCGCCACAGCACTAAACACCTGACTCCTACATTGTGTGGAACAGACCTGATGAGACGGTATCTGCAGAGTGTGGTGATCGATTGGATCTACGGTATAAGGCAGGGGTCTGCAACCCACGGCTCCGGAGCCGCATGTGGCTCTTTTACACCTTTGTCGTGGCTCCGGGGCAGATACTAGCGAGGGGAGGAGGCGCATTGTGCGCCCCGACACTCCCCACTGTGGCGGGCGCTGTACTGGCTGTGACGTCGCATGGGGGCGGTGCGTGCGTTAGTCACGCACCGTCCCGACGTCACCTGCCCGCCTGCTACATTGTAAGGAGCATGTATGCTGGTCACTGCATTGAAAGGGGACATGTATGCTGGTCACTGTTTTGAAGGGGAGTGAAGAACACACACACACAAAAAGGTAACTTGTTAATTTAACGTTTATTTCTATGAGGAGGAGTAATTCTGAGGGGTCAAACAAAGAAATAATAAAAAAGTGACAAAAAAGTTATTTTTATAATGACGAGTTTTGCGGCTCCCAGTTTTTTTTCCTTCGGAAATGGGTCCAAGTGGCTCTTTTTGTCTTAAAGGTTGCAGACCCCTGGTATAAGGGTAGGAAAGGGACGCGGGTGGCGCTGTGGGTAAAACCTCAGTGCCTAGGACTTGCCGATCGTATTGTCGGCGGTTCGAATCCCCGCGGCGGGGTGAGCTCCCGTCTTTCGGTCCCAGCTCCTGCCCACCTAGCAGTTCGAAAGCACCCCTAAGTGCAAGTAGATAAATAGGTACCGCTTTATAGCAGGAAGATAAACGGTGTTTCCGTGTGCTGCACTGGTGCTGGCTCGCCAGAGCAGCTTCGTCACGCTGGCCACGTGACCCGGAAGTGTCTTTGGACAGCGCTGACTCCCGGCCTCTTAAACGAGATGAGCGCGTAACCCTAGAGTTGGACACGACTGGCCCGCACGGGCAGGGGTACCTTTACCTTTATAAGGGTAGGATGAAACTTTACTGACCCACCCAGAAATTGCTTGATGATGAAGGGCAGCATATTGTATACAAATAAGTAAATAAAATAATAATCTTTAAATGAGTGCTTATTCCTAGTGTGCTCTGGATTGCAGCCGTAAGAGGCATTCCCACTAGAGATGCAAATCACAGCGGTTAACAGCTAACTCTCAGTACAAAGCCCCTTTACCTCAGAAGGCACTTTCAGATTCTTGTTATTTTCTAGTGGGTTTCAATCACATGCTGACACATTCAGGTTGCACAATTACAATTTTATTTAGAGTTCTTGCAGGACAAACCTGCATCTTCACAAGGTTGGGCTTTTTCCAGTAAGAAAAGTGACACGATAATAACTTGCTGGACACAACCTCACTGTCAAGCCTTCCTATGAACAAATCAGGGCAAATGCTCAAAATAAATAATAGGCATAGGTGTGCACAGCACATTTCATTAGTGGGGTGGGGATGACAAAAAAAGCGAGGAGGTAAAAAAGGCAAAAAGCCCCACAACAACCACGAGAATTAATCAAGAAGCCAAAACGAGATTTTTTTCCTGCAGAAGAAAATACTTGTATCAAGCTAAGCAGAGGGCCAAGGGCAGAATGAGTCCTTGCTTGTGAACTATAAAACACAGCCCCTAACCACCACAGATCTCTTTTCACAAAAGGTGGTGAGCAGAGTTTGGAGGGAGACAGAGCCATGAGACAGATGCAGGCAGCATAAAAAGGCTGGGGTGAATGTACAGTTTTGTCCTCCCTTACGACCACCACTATCCACACCCCCCCACCATGACTTCTAGAGACAGACACAGGAAGAAGCAGATTTATTCCAGATCCATTCCAGCTTTTTTATTCTGCTCGTGTCTTTCTCTGGCTTGATCCCTGGTTTTTCTAAACATTCGGATGTGCCTGAGCACTCCTGCGCATGCCTGTGATAGCAGGTTGTCTGGAAGTACTCAGATTATCTTTTATAGTACTTTATCATTGAGGCTCACAATCCTAAAAGTGTGTACAAGACAAACCAGTCACAATGATTATGAAGAGTCAAAAGTAAAGGGGAAAGATTGCTTGTCTACATGTATAGAAGAACTGAGTGTATACCTTTGCTAGTGCAATCCTACCATGTCTACTCAGAAGTAAATCCTATTGAATTAAATGAGGCTTATTCCAAATTGAAGGGGGCTAGGATTGCCCGTTATTGATTGAACACACTGGGGCTTAGGCTGCAACCTTAACTTACCTGGGAGTCACTCATTGAATTCAACAGGTCATGCTTCTCAGCAGACAGGGTTTATAGGACTGCTCTGTTACTTCTGAGCAAGGATATGAACTCATTGTCAAAATATATTTGCTGAATTCTGTCCTACATATACACAAGCCAAAAAAAAAAAAAGTATTTACATTTGACTATTCCTAATAATTGTGATATTTCTTGATGTTTGCTTGTTTAGAGATTTCCCTATTCTGCTACAGAAATACTGTATGGTTAAACTAAAGTGGTTCTCATAGGGTGGGGCAAGAGGGGGTGGCAAATTTCAGAGTAGCATTTCAGAGTAGCATTGTGTATACCTATAGATAGATATAGATATATGATTTGCAGGAAGTGATATGATGATTTATACCTCGCCCATCTGGCTGGGTTTCCCCAGCCACTCTGGGCGGCTTCCAACAAAATATTAAAATGCAGTGGTCTGTTAAACGTTAAAACTTCCCTAAACAGGGCTGCCTTCAGATGTCTTTTAAAAATAGGATAGATGCTTATTTCCTTGACATCTGGTGGGAGGGCGTTCCACAGGGCAGGTGCCACCACCGAGAAGGCCCTCTGCCTGGTTCCCTGTAACTTTGCTTCTTGCAGCGAGGGAACCACCAGACCTCAGTGTCCAGGCTGAACGATGGGGGTGGAGATGCTCCTCCAGGTATACAGGACCGAGGCTGTTTAGGGCTTTCAAGGCCAACACCAACACTTTGAATTGTGCTGGGAAACGTGCTGGGAGCCAATGCAGATCTCTCAGGACCGGTGTTATGTGGTCCTGGCGGCCACTCCCAGTCCCCAGTCCAGCTGCCGCATTCTGGATTAACTGCAGTTTCCGGGTCCCCTTCCAAGGGAGCCCCACGTGGAGCGCGTTGCCGTGTCTCCAAGCGGGAGGCAGCCAGAGCCTGCACCAGTCGGCGGGCAGGAAGGATATATAACATTTCAAAATGAAATCCGGAGCATCAAGCGATACTGAGGACAATCCTAATTGTAGCTTCATCCATTCGGACTTCGGTGGGGCGCGAGCACATTTTCCTTCTGCGAGTGTGGCCAGAGAGAGAGCTTGAGAAGGACTCACCGAGCAGCATTAACAAGAAGCAGCTCCCCTGCCAGGTTTGGGCTCTCTTTATTCCGCCCCGCGGCCCGGAAATCCCGCCCCGGGCGCTCCATTGGCGGCCTTCGCGCGGCCCCTCCCACGCGAGCTGGGGCCGTTCTCGCGAGAGCGGCGGCCCCGTGGCTGGCAGGAGGCGGAAGCGCGGCGCTGGCTGGGCGCTCGGCGGGGCACGTGGAGAGCTGCGCGCCCCGAGTCGCCCCGATGGGCCGAGCGCGCCCGAGGCGCAACTGGAAGGCCCGCCGCCCGGAGAGCCGCGCCCCGCCGGGCCCCCCGGAGCCCGTGCAGCTGGAGCTGGGCGGTGAGTCGGCGCCCCGGGTCCCCTTTCCCGCGCCCCTCTTCGCCCAGGCCTTTGGCGGGCTAAAGAATTCTGGCCTCTCGAAGCCGTCTCCCCCCCCCTCGGGTCCCCAACTCCCGGCATCCCAGACCACGAGTCCTGCTAGCTGGGGATGGTGCATGGTGGTGGTGGTTGTTTTGTACTGGTACTGTGGTGTATCTGTTTGTGTTTCTGTATTGCAAACCACCCTGTGATCCTCGGGTGCTTAGAAATGTAATAAATTATTATTAAGAATACAGTGGTACCTCGGGTTACATACTTAATTCGTTCCGGAGGTCCGTTCTTAACCTGAAACTGTTCTTAACCTGAAGCACCACTTTAGCTAATGGAGCCTCCTCCTGCTGCTGCTGCGCCACCGCCGCACAATTTCTGTTCTCATCCTGAAGCCAAGTTCTTAACCCGAGGTACTATTTCTGGGTTAGCGGAGTCTGTAACCTGAAGTGTATGTAACCCGAGGTACCACTGTAATCACCCCTGACCACTGGCCCTGCAGGTTGGGGTGGCAGGAGCTGCGGCCGAGCAACAGCTGGAGGGCCCCAGCTGACCGGACTAGGGTGTCATGAAATTTAAGGGGGCCTTTAAGAACTTGCCTTTAAGAGTCCACAAACATCATCTGGTATCCAAGAGTAGCTTACATTGTTTTTGTTTTATCTAGTTGTCATAGCTAATCACTGCCGATAGCCTTTATCCCCTCTGATGAATTTGTCTAAACTAGTGGCCCTCCTTGCTTCTTGCAGCAATGAGTTCTATAAGTAGAATACACATTTCTTATGGGCTGCTGAGAGAGCAGCTCAGTTTGACTGAATAACTTGAATTTGCTTTCCCCCCCACCTCTCTTAACTCCCTCTCCGTCTATTCCCCCCCCCTTTTGTCATGGCATTTATTCTGTAAGCTGGCAGGAGAGAGTGCTGTTTTACCCAGGTCTCTTCTTTTGGGCTTGGAGAAAATGATGCTGGACTAGGTGGGCTGTGGACATGACCCAGCAGGGCTCTAATTATGTTCTCATGAGAGTCCATAGTTCGGGTAGGCTCATAGCTCAGTGCTATGCAGAAGGTCCCAGGTCTAGTCCCTTGCATCTCCAGGTAGGTTTGGGAAAGATCCCTGTCTGAAATGTTGAAGAGTCGCTGCCAGTCAGTTCAGACAATACTGAGCTGGATCGTAGACGCAGCATCCTGTTAGCGTTCCTGTGGGTTGGTGTCATTCACTCTGGGAGTCCTTTTGGCTGAAGAGTGGTGTAAAACGGCTTTGGGGTGGTGCGGAAAGGGTAGGTTATAAATATGATGAATAAAAATTATGCTTCGCTCCCTTGGATGCTCTGATCATGTTCTGTGCATATGTCCACTTTCCCAAGACACTTATACGCTGCCCTACTGTGCCCTTGTGAATGGTACATGGGTCAGTTGCAAGTTTCCATGAAGAGGTCAGAAGTAAGTGGTGTGATGCTGCTTGTCAGCCTGGGAAGGTAGCCCATCTAGGAGAAGGAAACCTCCACTGCCTTGAGGGATTTCTTCAGGAGAAGGAAAGGCTAAGGAGCAAACCCTACACAAATCCAGAGTGGAGTCCTTAAGACAGTTGGATGGTGCCTTGTACGCTTCCTTCCGGCAACTCCTGCAGCCAAGCTGCTGCCAAACGTGTTGCTCTGCTTTTCTTTGGACCACATCAGTGAGGCTGAGAGGGGGGTCCTGTCGTCTAGGCAGCCGAGGACCACCATACACACTGCCACGGCTTGTGTCCCAGAGAGGTCACTTGGGGTGACCTCTAATACAACAGTTTGACTTCACCCCCAGAGGCGCACCCCATTGTTTCTCGAGACAGACAGATACCAACAATGGATGCTGCCTTTAAACATTGCAGTCGTACACACAGTTATCTCAGTGCCTGAGAGACATTACGCTTCTGCCTACCAGTTGCTGAGAACTACAAGAGGGGAGAGTGGTCTTGTGCTCAGGTCCAGCTTGTGTGCTTCCTACAGTAATCTGGCTGGTCACTGTGAGAAAATACTGGACTAGATGGACCACTGACCTGATCCAGGAGGCTGTCCTGATGTTCTTTCGTCACTAAGCTGAACAGGGCTCACACTGGAGCAAACGTGCACAAGATTGTGCTGAAAATCCTTCAAGTTGGGATGGGGAACATGTGTCCCACCAGATGCAGCAGTCCCAGCAACGTCTGAAAGGCCACAGGTCCCCCACTCCCCCTTTCAATATTGTGGTGACCAAAGCAAGCCCTTCTTTCTGTTGTTCCAGATGAAGCCATTTCAAAAGGGGTGGATGAGTGTAATGCCCTGGTCCTCCCATCACAGAAAACCAAGGATAAAAAAGTAACTTCTGAAAAGGCCCCAGAAAAGAAGCCGCTGACCAAGAAGCAGAAGAAACTCCTGCAGAAGGTTTTGGAACAGAAAGCAAAGAAGGAAAAGGTATGTTTTGGAGTGTGGAGGCCAAGAGAACACCAAGGAGACATGTGGCCCGCGGCATCCTTTGGGAGGGCTGGGAGTATCCGCTGTCTGAAACCCAGGAGAGCTCCTGCTGGTCAGTGTAAACAATATTGAGATAGATGGACCAGCGGTTTTAGGATCACACAACATAAAAGAAAAATAGGATAAGGCAGGAAAAGGAAATCAAGCAAACACTGGTATTGGTTCTTAAAGATGCAATTTTTTAAATAATGCCCTGCTAGAATGTAAACAGTTCTGGGAGAGGAGGAGCCCAATGGAGCTGGCATCTCAATCGAGCCCCTCTGCCCGTCTCTCCCTCTGCTCCACTTTTGGCAGGGTGAGGGAAGGCACTCTTCATTTTGCTTCCCACTGTATTTGAACTGTTAGGAAAATCTTACACACCACCCAGTATTAGCGAGGCCTCTATTCACACCGTACATTTGAAGCATATGATACCGCTTGGCTTTCCCCAAAGAATCTGGGGAGCTGTCGTTTTTTAAGAGTGCTGAGAGTTGTTAGAAGACCTTCTTCCCATCTCAGAGCTACAATTCCTAGAGTGCCCATTTTTCAGAACTGTAGCTCTATGCAGGGGGGTCTCCTAGCAACTCTCAGCGCCCTTAACAAACTACAGCTCCCACAGTTCTCTGGGGGAAGCCATCACTGTTTAAAGTGCTATCCTAGTGTAAACGCCTCCTAGGGCAGACTTGCTTCATACAACTCTTTCTCATCCTAGCGAGCGGAGTTGCTGAGAAAGCTGAGTGAAGTCCAGGCTTCCGAGGCCGAGATGAAGATGTTTTATACCACGTCCAAAATAGGGACGGGGGACCGGATGTACCAGCCTAAACGGTAAGTTCTGGGTACGTCCAGCTTGTTGCTCTTGTTGCAGTGTGGACATACTCTTCCCTTCTTTGGCCTTTTTGTGATACGCAGCAGGTGTGGGGTGTTCTCCCCATGTAGCTTCCCTTGAGATCTCCAGCTTTCAGAGTGCATCTTCTTAGCTGGTGTCTCTGGTTCTATAAAGCAGGATGGGCAGCCTGTAGCCCAGGGGCTGAATGCAGTCCCTGCCTCGTTCCGTATGGCCCTCCAAATGCTGCAGAGAGCTGGAGGGGTGGGGAACAGAGAGAGAAAGTGAGGGATGGGTAGGGTGCAGAGAGATGGGGACACACAGAGAGAGAGAAGGACAGAAAGAGACAGGTGAAGTGAGAAAGAGTTTGTGTATGAGAGAGAGATGGCACAGAGGGTGTGAATAAGAGAGTGGGGACTAGAGAAAGTGTGAGAGAAACAGACAGGGTGGCAAAGAAAGTGAGTGATGAGTGGCAGAGAGAGAGAGAGAGAGAGAGAGAACGCACTCTGCAATGCTGCAGACTCCACCCACTTCTTGCTCCGATTTCATTCACATTTGGCTTTGGCTTGTGGCTCCTGACAGAAAAATAGTTCCTTATCCCTGCTGTGTTGCATCTGAGGATGTGCTTTGGGGTGGACTTGTCTCGTGTGTCAATGTGACTTGGGTGTTTCAGGGCAATCCAAGAAGTGAGTGCCATCTCATCCAGAAAAAATTAAAAGCGTTGGTGGTGCAAACAGAAAAAGATGCAGACCTGAACTGGAGTCTGAAGAGGAGTCTGAGATTTCCTCGGAGGAAGAGGAGGAGGAAAAGGAGCCAGAAGAGCAGGCAGAAAAGGCAGCCCCAGAGGTTCCTAGCACTATCCTGCTGCCTGAGGAGCCAAAGAAAGCCATTGCATCTCCACCCAGCACATCGAAGCAACATTTTCATGCTCCCAAGCCATCTTTGGGGCCTACTGTGTTCATCCCAGTGGACAGATCTCCCGAGATTCAGGTCAGTTTTGAATGCCAACAAGCCAAAAATGCACCCCGTTGCATCACAAGCAGCAGCAGCAGCAACAACAACAACAACAGTGGGTCACCCATGTGAGATTCATGACACTTTTCTCTGCAAAAGTGCATGCAGATTCCACGCACAAAATGCCTTTGGAGTATTTGTGTTAACAATAAACGGGGGATGTTTTGATTTAATTGTTCTTGGGCACATGATATTTGTGACCTTGGAGCTGAACAGATGCTGAAGAGGAGGTCAAAATTTGGACCTAAAGAGCTCGTTTTTATTTATTTAGTGCAGGTGCCCTCCAAAGTGTTGTTGGACTCCAGCTCCCATCAGCCCCAGTCAGCATGGATAGTTAGCTGGAAAGATGGGAAATTGTAGTCAACACGATCTGGAAGGCACCTCTGTGGCTACTGCCTGTATTGGTGCATATATATCCTGTCATTCATCCATCATGAAGCTCAGGGTTGTGGGCACTGGGTTGCCAAACTGCCTCCCATCCAGGCACTAACCAGACTAGGCCCTGCTTAGCTTTATCAAGGTGTGCCATATCACGTGCCCTCAGACTTGCCCGTCTCACCATTCAGTATGGTGAGGGAAAATTTTTCAACTTCTGCATATGGATGTGAGGTGAAATTCTCCTCATTACATGGTCAGACAATGCTGAAGACCAGTTTGCCAAGTGGTTATGCCCACCCTCTCAGAATGGCATGCCCATCTTTGGCCTCTTAAATTTATTGTCACAGAGAGGAGAATTTCCCCCTTCACACTTGAACCCCTGGCAGAGATATAGAGAAACAGGAAAGTAGTTGGGGTTTTTTTTTGTTTTTTTGTTTAAAAAGCCTCTCTGAAGGATGGGACAGGCAGCAGTTTCACCAAGTGGTTATGATTATTGTTTATTTCATTTAATATATGTCTCCCACTTTTCACCATGGAAGCTTACCACTTGTGTGTCCTTTGGTAACACACTGCCAAGTAATGAGGTGAACTTTACCTCGGATTTGCCTAATGTCAGAAATCTGGCATTACCCACGGTATGAATGTCAGAAATCTGGCATTACCCACGGTAGTGTTTAAAATTCTTGGGCATGGCAAAGAAACTAGATTACTGGTTTCCTTAGAGGATTAAATTCCCATTGCAGTAAGATACTGCTTGTATGTTGATTCGTAGGGCTGCAACCCTAAACACGCTAACTGATTATTAAGCTCCACAGAACACAGTGGGACATACATCTGTGTAAACATGCAGAAGACTGCACCCTAAGCTTACACCACTGGAAGTTACTTTAAATTAATTGTTTGGTGCCATTTTAATTCATTTTAGATCAGTAATTTAACCCTTTGCCTATGTAAAGTTGTAACTTTGCTTTGAAAGGAAGCCAGGCTGAAGCTCCCAATCCTTGCCGAAGAACAAGTCATAATGGAAACCATCAATGAGAACTCTATTGTTATCATATGTGGAGAAACTGGCAGTGGGAAGACCACGCAAGTCCCTCAATTTCTCTACGAAGCAGGATATGCCAGGTATTACACCTTTTTAAAAAAACACTTATTTTATGCCAAGAGGAAAAAATATCATTGTTCCTAGATTTTGGTGCTTTGACAAATTGCCTTCTCCTTCGCCATGGAGTTCCCTCCAGAAACAATAATTGTACTCTGACAGTGATTGGCTGAGCTGGTGTGATGGCACAGAATCTCCAGTTGTTCAGGGGGAGCTAGTAAACCCCTTTGTAGCCCAGCCTCTGTGCTGGAAAAGAAAGTTGTCTGTTAGGTTGGGATTACAATCTTGCACACAGGAAGATTGCAAATAGAAGGAGGTCCCAGGATGCAGGACCAGTGTAGACATCACTGAATTCAGTGGACCTTTCTTAAACATAAGGCCGCTTCTTATGTTTTCTTTGCTCAGGAAGCAGTTGCCCTGGGACTGCAGGGATTAAGGGGGGCACACTCTGGCCTCAGCTCCCAGGAACAGCATCATGGCAAGGGCGAGTGGCACAGCCAGTGAAGGAGCAGATGCCCACAACACTTGCTCTCGTCTTCTCTTTTTTCTCATGTGCCTCTTGGATGTTGAGTCTGGACAGGGACTGTCTTACCTTTAAATATATGTATGTCACTATGAAGATTTCAGTTGCTTTTATAAATGACCTGAGGCAAAATAAGCCTGGAAAGCAGGGAGCAGAGGAAATAATATCTGGTGGGGTCATGCAGTTAGAAAGAAGCGGAGAAGCCAAAGATAAAAGAAGACTGGGGCTGTGCACTGGAAGCAGAAAGGAACTGCGCAGGCAAAGGGTGGCAGAGGGGCATGGTCCAGGGCAAGAAAGCAGAGCATCGCTGTGCCTAGACCAGCCCACCAGATGATGGTGGATGACAACACCCATCATCCCTGACCGTCAGCCGCACTGGCTAGAGCTGATGGGGGTTGTAGTCCAGCAGCATCAGGCTGGGCAAAGGCTGGCATTGGAGAGTGGAACTCATCAGTAGTGGCTTCTGCTTTTAGCATTGTGACCCACCAACATTTTTGTGCGTTAGTGAGAGTCAATGCGTGACAGCCGTGAGGGTAAATCTCAAACATTAATTTGCACTAGTCAGCCAGCAGTTGTTGCTGTTTTATTTCTATCCCAGCCTTCCTCCAAGAATCTCAAAGTGGCAATTACATGCCTCTCCCCGCTCACTGTTTTGTCCTTGCAACAACCTTGTGAGGTCGGTTAGGCTAAGAGACATTGATGGCTGAAGATCACCCTGTGAGCTTCATGGCCAAGTGGGGATTTGAACCCTGGTCTCCCAGGTCCTAACCTGACACTCTAACCACTGCACCATGCTTTGGGTTCAGGCTGTTAGTAAGATAAAATGTAGTTCTTCCCTTGGGTTCTTCTCATTTCTGTGTAGAACTGAAAGAAAAGGGGTTGTGTTGCAACATGATCTCCCCCCCCCATTCCTTTTTTCATTCATTGCTGACAGTAATAATCTTTCGTTCACTGCTCTTGTAGGCCTGGCGGCATCATCGGAATCACAGAACCACGGCGTGTGGCTGCAATTTCTATGTCCCAGCGTGTTGCAAAGGAGATGAACTTATCACATAGGTAAGCGTACTTGCACAGACTCCAGAAAGTGTTCTTTAGATCAGCCTTCTCTCCAAGTGCTTTGGCCTCCCAACTCCCCTTGGTCCCAGCCAAGGTCTGTGCCTTCAGCCAAGTGATGGTTGGGGGAAACCTCTGCTTCAGATGACATCAGAAAAGGTGTTGAGAAACCGGGAACAAATGTTGGCCAGCCCACTGTTGGGACGTGTTCAGAACTCAGGAAAGTGAGCTGTCACAAGGTGGAGCTGCTCATTCACTGCATTCCACTTCTGATTATTCCCCTGCTCCTTGACCAAGTAATGAAGTCACCCCATATCCTGACATCAGTCACTCTGCATGTTCCCCCTTCTCCACTGCAGGTCATTGGCTGGTAGAGTTGGGACATTGTGAACAACATGGGGCAAGTGTCGGTATGCCTACCAGAGTACAGAGATCTGTGTGAGATTTGTTGCCACCAGTGGGTGTTTTTACTGGGATGGTTTTTCTCAGGGCAGACCCCAGCCATTTAGGGGTCAGGGTCTGAGCATGCATAATAGGTGCTTTCCTTCCTGGCTGGAGCTCATACTCTGGCTCAGTGATCATCACCTGACCCACCTCTAACTCCTCTCCTGCCACATGGGACCCATGCTCACATACAGTACTTGCTTTGATTTATACCTAATAGCGCCGATAGGGCACATTATTAGCTGTAAAATGGCAATCCGCAGAAAAGTATACCGTATTTTTCTGTGTATAATACTAGGTTTTTTTCCTAAAAAATAATGTCAAAAATTTGGGGGCATCTTATACACGGATACATCTCCCCCATTTTCTTAAATCAGAGCCCCCCCCAAAATAGGGGGTGTCTTATACATGAGGGCGTCTTATAGACGGAAAAATACGGTACGTAGTGTTTCCTTAGCATTGCTAGTAAATGAAAACCAGTGTATACTTGTTCTTAGCCAGAAGGCCAAGGAGCTATTGAAACCCAGTGAGTTTTTAAAAACAGACTCATAATGGCAACCGCTGTGCAGTTGAGCTTCCCACCTCAGTAGACACTTGTGTATTCTAGTGCCCAGCATACTTCCATTCTAGAAGTCTAGAAAGCCTTAGAAAGTGAATGGCTGTCCCTGCTCCATAGAGGACTCCCATGAAGGTGGGACACACAACAGGCCAGAAATACATTTCATACTGGAAAATGCTCCTGCCTTTCTCCTACCACTTTGCAGGGAGATTGATAAAACAAATGTCTCTCCAGAAGAATTGAGTTCCAGCCCAGGCAGTGCTCCTTTGATTCGGTCAGCTTTAGCTGGGGTCTGATGAAGCAGCAACAGCCTTGCTGCAACCCACCTGGGATGGCCTTGTGCCCCATCTGTGGGCCCCAACCCACTGGCTGAAGGCCTGTGGTCCAACTCAAAATGCTTGGCTACACAGTGGGATGTGTTGTGGGGTGGGATGTTGTGTCCATGGGGCAGGGAGCTTTATAAGGAGGAGTGAGTTAGAAGGGGGGTGTAGCCAGGTCCCAGCGGTGTAACAATTCTCTTCAATGTTGAAAATGCAAATGCCATGGGTCTAAATCCGCTGTAGGGGGACCTGTTGCAGCTTCAGGACTGCATTGGCTTCTGGGGGCCACACGTCAGAGGTGGATGGAGGTAGAGGCAAAAGTGGGTGTAGCAATGAATGCAAATTTAGCCTTTGCACAGTCGGCTGCTTTCTACACACACAGCCCTTTGTATCCTCCCAACCAGACAAGCAAGAAGCATTATCAGAATTCAAGGACGCAGTCCAGCCTGGCAAAGACACTCCAGGAGTGTCTGAAGTGAGACCAGTAACGGGGATGGGAGAGCCAAGGGCCAGACAGGAACCTGGAGGGTCACCTTTCACCCTCAGGCTTGAGGCTTCTTGCTCCAGGCCTAAAATATTTCAGTGGGTCATACTTACAAACACTGGAAAAGAGGAGACTGAGAGGAGATATGTTACAGATAGGTAGCCGTGTTGGTCTGCCATAGTCAAAACAAAAAAAATTCCTTCCAGTAGCACCTTAAAGACCAACTAAGTTAGTTCTTGGTATGAGCTTTCGTGTGCATGCACACTTCTTCAGATACAGATATGATAGCCATCTTCAAATATCTTAAGGGCTGCCACATGGAAGAGGCAGCAAGCTTGTTTTCTGCTGCTCTGGAGGGTAGGACTCAAGTTGCAAGAAAGGAGAATCCGACTAAACATTGGGAAGAACTTTCTGACAGTAAGAGCTGTTCAGCAGTGGAATAGACTCCATCAGAAGGAAGTGGATTCTACGTACGTCCCTGGAGGTTTTTAAGCAGAGGTTGGATGGTCATCTGTCATTTATGCTTTTGCTGAGATTCCTGGATTGCAGGGGGCTGGACTAGAGGACCCTTGGGCTCCCTGCCAACTCTACAATTCTAGGACTGTGTGTGGTTCTAGAGCAGGGGTCAGCCACCTTTTCCAGCTGTGGGCCGGCCCACCATCCCTCAGACCTTGTGGGGGACGACTATATTTTTTGGGGGAAAATGAGCGAATTCCTATGCCCCACAAATAACCAAGAGATGCATTTTAAATAAAAGGACACATTCTTCTCATGTAAAAACAGGCTGATTCCGTGGGCCGGATTGAGAATGCGATTGGGCCGCACCTGGCCCACGGGCCGTAGGTTGCCTCCCCCTGTTCTAGAGTGCTGGTTTGTTTGATGTTGGGTTGATCCCAGAGTTCTTTTCATCCTCTGTCCTCAGGGTGATTTCATACCAAATCCGTTACGAAGGAAACGTGACAGATGACACCAAAATCAAATTCATGACAGATGGTGTGTTGTTGAAGGAAATCCAGAAGGTATAGTGGTGGTTCTTCCTTTCAGAAACGAAATGCAGCTGTGCCTATGTAATGCTACTTCTTAACATGTTGACATACTTTTGACGCAGCCAGTTCCCAGCCTGCTGCCCTCCAGACTTTCATTACTCTGGCCATCTGCCATGCTTACTGAGGCTGATGGGAGTTGGAGTCCAAAAGATGTGGAAGGCACCAGGTTGGGTTTAGGGTGACTAAGAGACAGCTCAGGATGGAGCTGAACTGGATGGGTTGTCATTGACTGAGTCACTAGGCAACAGGTCCGTCCCCGTCCCCCCACGCGCGCGCAAAAAAACCAACCAGAATTCAGATTCAGGAATGAGAGAAGGGTTTTGCACTTCCTTGTGAGGTCCTCAGAACCATGTTCAGTTTGAAGAAGTGGCTTAGGGGCATCTTCTTCAGGCTTCTAGATGTTTTAGATTGCCACTCCCATCAGCCCAACATGTAGGTTTTGAGCCACAAATTCCCCCTTAAATATCAAATCAGTTGATAAGTCTGGTTGAATTTTGATGTGTGGTTGTGGTATTCCTCATACACCCACCCACCCTTTTGGTCTTCCCAGGATTTCTTGTTGTCCAAGTACCGGGTCATTATTCTCGATGAAGCTCATGAAAGAAGCATCTATACGGATATCCTGATTGGTCTTTTATCACGCATTGTGCCACTCAGAGCCAAGGTAAGGAGGGAAAGGGGGGTTACGTATCAATAGCATTCTAACATTTGATTATTTTGGTTTTTACAAATACAGTCATACCTTGGGTTACAGACGCTTCAGGTTGCGCACTGCGCCAAACCCAGAAGTACCGGAACGGGTACTGAAGAGCCGAATTGTGACCCACACGTGCGCAGACGCGGCGCTGTGGGTTGCGAATGCTGAGGGTTGCAAATGTGCCTCCCGCACGGATCATGTTCACAACCCAAGGATCCACTGTAGTCATATGTGCTTGATCTTACATTCACGCATTGAAAATACTAGGACTCCAGTGCTCCTTAAACTATTGAATTCGCTTCCACAAGAGGCACCTTGGATCACTTTAAAAGAGGATTAGACAAATTCATGAGGGATATGGCTTATCCATGGCTGTTAGCGATGATGGCTGTGTTCTGTCTCCACTGTCGAAAGCAATATGCCCCTGATTACCAGTTGCTGAGGACCACAAATGTGTAGAGTACTGTTGCTGTCCGAGCCATCTTACACACTTCCCGTGGTTATTTGGCTGGCCACTGTAAGAACAGGATGCTGGACCAGATGAGGTTTCGGCCTGATCCAGCAGGGCTCTTCTAAGGAGGAATTGATTAGATTTTATCTGTTTAAAAAATTGTTTTGTTCAGTCCCAAAGCTGCCCCTGGGGTGATCGGTCAGCAGGAGAGAAGAGAAGGGGGTTCAAGAGACACAGAGAGAATGGAAAGATGGGAGGAATGAACTTCTCCTTTGTCTCCCACAGGAGGGAGTGGGCCCAGCCACCGCCATGGGGATACATAGGGACCACCTTGCTCTGTGGGGGGGAAAGGCAGAACAACTGCCTGCTCTCTGGCTTCCAGGGCTCCAGCTCCAGTTGGCCCTTCCCCACCCACACCGCAAGACCCCTCAGTGATCACCTTCCCCTGAGAGGAAGAAAAATCTTTCAAGCTTTTTTTTCTCTGTTAAATGACACTAGTAATATCAGCAGCTGATGTTTCACAGTTTCCATTTAATACTTACTATTTTAATACTTCTGTGCAAACTTTGCATGAAAAGAAGGCACATTGATGCTGAAAGTAAGAGAATGAATAAATAGCAGCACTTTAAATTTGGTCCAGGAACAGATAAGGCCGAGTTGCCAAAGTTGTTGAGCTTTTTTGGGGAAAATCTCAAATAGTTTTTGAGCGTAATATGCTCATAAAGATAAAGGTACCCCTGCCCGTACGGGCCAGTCGTGTCTGACTCTAGGGTTGTGTGCCCATCTCACTTAAGAGGCTGAGGGCCAGCGCTGTCCGCGGACACTTCCAGGTCACGTGGCCAGCGTGACGAAGCTGCTCTGGCGAGCCAGCGCAGCACACGGAAACACCGTTTACCTTCCCGCCAGTAAGCGGTCCCTATTTATCTACTTGCACCCGGGGGTGCTTTCGAACTGCTAGGTTGGCAGGCGCTGGGACCGAGCAACGGGAGCGCACCCCGCCGCAGGGATTCGAACCGCCGACCTGACGATTGGCAAGTCCTAGGCGCTGAGGTTTTACCCACAGCGCCACCCGCGTCCCTATATGCTCATAGGACTAGTTAATTTGTCATTCAGCTGCTAGAGTACTGCGGGCAGTTTCTGAACAGTCGTCAAAGATCTTACGTCAAGTTCCTCCAGATTTGGCTACATCTTATCTCCACCAAGCCTTCTTGCCTGTGTTTTTGTTCTTACACATTCACAGAAAGGAAATCCGCTAAAGCTGATCATCATGTCTGCCACACTGCGTGTGGAAGATTTCACCACCAACAAGAAACTGTTTGCCAGTCCTCCTCCTGTTATACAGGTAACAGTGTGACATTCAACTGGTGATAGTGGTTGGATTTGGTGTCACGTTTTGTTCCAACACCAGAGGCCTCAGGGAAAGTGGCAAGCCTGGAGAGGGGAGAAGGGCTGGTTGAAGGATGCTGGACTGCATCTGCCTTTGATGCCTCCTGTCTCTGGACTGCATCCACCAGACTCCATCCCCTTGAGAGAGCTGCTGAGCCCTAAAAGGCCTGAGCACGGGCACTCCTCCTCCTCCTCCTCCTCCCATAGCCTCCCTCCTGGCATGTCTCAGGGCTGGTGAGGAGTGAGGGGAGGGACCTGGTTCTTCAAGGAAGTGTCCATGTCTGGCCCTGTGGGCCCTGGCAGTCTGCGAGGTTCCTGTCTATACTTGTGGGTATAGGGCAGTATAATTTTTTGAGTAATAATTCCCTCAGGCATGGCGGTCTCCAGCTCAGGAGTGGAGATTGCCGCTTTCTCTGAAGCGCAGCTCCTGCACTTCTCCTGAGAGTGGGGAGGCAGCAGGGTGGGATGCAGAAGCTTAAAGAAAAACACGTTTGAGAGCCATTTTAAAAGAGCTCCCATCATATTCTTGTTTCGAGAAGGCTTTAATCTCTGCTCATCAATTTAAGAGCAGAGATTAAATCCTGCTGCCTTGGCTTCATGATCCTGTTCCCTGCTGGAGGCATAGAGCCAATGCAGGATTAAACCACATCTTCTTGCCTGTTAGCTGGCATCACCAGTGATGCCAGCAGGTGGGTGGGTGTGGTTTGGAGGAAATGGCCTCACAGGCCAAATTGGAGCCCCTGGCAGGCCAAAAGGGACCTGTGAGCCAGAGGTTCCCCAGGTCTAAATAGACGTGCTTTGTCGTTCTGGGCAACTGCTCTTTCTTTACCTGTATTGTTTTCTCTGTAGGTGGATGTGAGGCAATTTCCTGTGGCAGTTCATTTTAACAAAAGGACCCCACTGGATGATTATAATGGAGAATGTTTCCGGAAAGTCTGTAAAATTCACCGAATGTTGCCATCGGGTAAGCTGACTGGCACAGACTTTTGTCTGTAATAAAAACCATAAAATTAGCTCTCAAATAAGGAACTGGAGTGATTCTCTTTTATGTCCTGGAGCAGGTTCAGAAAAGGGCAGAATGATCAAGGGGCTGAAGGCAGCATTCCCAGGAGGCCACATTTGGGGCTTTTTAATTTAGATAAATAGTGAGCCGGAGGCGTATGATTACATACTTAAAGGTTAAGAGGTGGGTGCAGGAAAGAACACTTTATGGTTTCAGTACGCTGAAATTCTTTCTGAATTGCAAGAATATTTTAGTTGTCCCAACCAAATTAGAGACTTGGCTGAACTGGAGAAATCCCCTGAGGAGGGGATTGGCAATTAAACCACTCTGTGAAGGGCATAGAGGGTTGCCTAACAACCCACAGCACCCATAAGAAACTATAGTTCCCAGAATGCTATGGGGAAAGCCATGACTGTTTAAAGTGGGATGACACTGCCTTAAATGTATAGTACAGATGTTGCCTTGATGTGACAAAATTCTGTGACTTAAAAAAAATAAATTGTGACAGTGTCTTATGAAGAAGACATTGAATAATGTTTTATTTCAAAGCATAGACATTGGTGCTTGGTGTGGCCTAATTTTAAGATATTTTATCTTCTTGCAGGGGGCATCCTAGTGTTCCTCACTGGCCAGGCGGAAGTACATTCACTGTGTAGGAGGCTGAGGAAATCCTTCCCTTTCCGCAAAAATGCACCCCAAGGTAACTGATGCCCTCAGAGAAACACATTGGTATTTCGGTATTAAAATCCCAAATAATTGACATGGTACCAACTCAATAAATGCAGTCTTGCAACTCTTCCAAAAAGCAAATTTGTTAAAAGCATTCTCCAAGCCTTTGCGCGTGGCCTGCCTCAAGTCCTTGAGGGACAGAATTTGCGTGAGAAGTGACTTCTCTGACAGCCACTGCCTTTCTTTGTCCAGTGGCAGGGAAAACAGCAATCCCAGAGTTGAATGATTTTGCGCCCTGGGTGTGAAGCATGCATTTGAGCCAAGAGTCAAGTATAGCACCCTGGCAGGCCAGACCAAGACTGGCTGTTAACCTGGCAGTGCCAAAACCTGGCCTGGAAGCTGGCGTGTCCTCCAGGTCAGGGAGAACCAATGGGTTGCAGAGGTGGGTGAAGCCGCCCTGAAAGTCTGGGAGGACGCCTTTGGCCAGGGATCTTTTTGTGCTGCAATTCTCCATGGCTCACCACCAAGGGCAGCAAAGCACAGATCTAGACGTTTATGCCAGTTTCACACAGCAAACTTGTTTGGAACTGGCTGCACTTCCCCTTTACATTCCTCTATTAAAAATAAAACTGGCAATATCAAAATGCTGGTACAGAGATCTCTGGTGTGACCACAGTTTGAGTCTCTGTACTGTTCTGGCCGGCTCAACTCAAAGAGGGTATTCTAGAGCTGGAAAAGGTTCAGAAAGAGGCATCAAGGGGTTGGAGTGACTCCCCCATGAAGAAAAGCTGCAGGGCTTGGTACTTTTTAGCTTAGAGGAGAAAAGAGTGAGAGGCGACTTGTTAAAAGTTCATAAAATTCAGCATGGCATGGAAAAGTGGATAAAGAATATGTTTTTCTCTTAACTCTAGAACTTGCAGACATCCAATGAATAATTCTTGAAAATTCCATATATATATAATTTTTAAGTACTTCAGAAATTACTGTGATGGAAGGCAGCCTAGCTTGACTCCTCACAATATCACCGGGGAGAGATGTAATTTTGTATTTGGTCTGTGACTTGGGTTTTTTGCTTGTGTTATTGAGGGACCTCCTCCTTTGGGCTATTGCTGTTACACTTGCCACATAACCCTCATCCCACAGTTGTGAGCAAGGGATCTTTCAGTTTGGCAGAACCTATACTTGGACAGGTGCTGTCACTGTACTGTTTTCAGCACCAGCTTGAAACATATTTGTTTAGGCAAACCTAAAGGTGTTTTAATCATTTTTACTGTCAATTTTAGTTATCGTTAAATGTTTTTAATTATTTAAACTCTTTTTCACTGATAATAAATATAGTAAACTGCTTAGAGGTTTTACTACACTCCAAAAGGTGTAAGCCTTTTTCTTAAGTAAAAATATTGATGTAGATGCTGCTTCCTTTCTTCTTCCCAGGTGGTGATGAAGACAAGGAGGATTCGGTTGAAGAAATACGAAGATTTAAGAAATCCAAACGGAAAAAGAATGTGGTATGTTTTGATTGGGGGCTCCCAAGTGGAACCAACCCTGGCGGGGCTTGCATTTGGCACCAAATTTAAAAGGCACCGAGGAGCAGTTCAAGGCTCCTTTGCAGCCATCTCTTTCCCTGCCCCACACCTGGTGTGTATGTGCGCGCACATGTGTGCGCACATATGCACACACACACTGGGAAAACTCTTGCAAGCCAAAATAGAGACAGAGATTCCTCACCACTTCCCTGCATCACAATAGGGTCCCCCAGATTAACAGCCTTTTGATCCAGACGCATGAAAATGCTCCTTATTTCCAGTACATTTGCCTCCTTCCCAGGCCCTGACACTTATTGGGATCCCAAGTTCTCAGAGCTGGGTCAGATGCAGGTCAGCACTCAAGAAGAAGGCGCAAGCAACAATGCCAACACACAGGACTGGCCCCTGTGAAACAGATGCCAGGACTGAAGCTCCTCACCTTCTACTTACCTCTAAGTCTTCCCCCCCAGATCCTGGGATGCTGGTGCAGCACCTGTCCCTCCTCTGCTTCATCAGCAGAGTCTTCACTGCTTTCTACACCTCTTGCTGTTGCCTTTTCAGCATCCAACCATTCCTCCCCTCCTTCCGCCTCTGATCTGTCCTCAGTGTCCCACCACAACTCTGGCTCTGAACCTTCCTCCTCAGGCTTCCCTCGGGTTCCCCGGCTGCTGCCTCCCACCCCTCCTCTTCATCCAGCCAGTCCCTGACACAAATCTCCCTCCCATCCCACTTGGACCCTCCGAGGGTCTTCCAGCTCTCACATTCCTCCTCAGGATCTGACCATCCCCTCCATGACACCTCCATGGGCCTCATGTCAACCACAGGGGATCATGGCTGTTTTGCAATAGTGTTTCAGAAACCACTGCCTCTCTGTGCCTGTATGTGCTCTGAATTTCAGCCTTCGAAAGCCATGATCCCTTTGTGCATTTCTCCTGATCCTTTCAGGTGCTGCCCAAAATAGATCTGGATAACTATTCTGTTATGCCAGTAGATGAAGGAGATGAAGACAGAGATGCAGGAGCTGAAGAAGATGCTGACGCTGCTTGCTCAGATCTCGACCTGGAATATGGAGATGATGGGTTGGAAGAAGGTTTGCCTCTTGGAAAATATGTTAAGGCAGTGTTGGTTCAGCTTCTGCAGGGCCCGTGGGCAAGACTTCCTCAGTGAGCCTTCCTCGCTCCTGTCATCATCTGCTGCTGCCCCACTCCTCCTCATGCATTTCCCCACCCTGCCACTAGCTTGCCAGGCAGAAAGTCAGTGAGCAAGCGGGCACTGGCATTTTCTGCTCCTCCCCAACACAGTTGCTCAGGCCAGAGGAAGAGGCTGGTGAGGAAGCGAGTGGGTTGCAGTGATGAAGAACAGGTGCAGGCTTAGGGGGGTCCCTTGCCAGAGACGTCCCTCGCTGGCAAGATGCCCAAATATACCAACCCCTGAGACTGGCTTGTGTTTATACATGTTGGGACCAGACTTTATTATTGAGCTGTCATGGCGCATAGAATCATAGAATGAGAGTTGGAAGGGACTGGGAGGGTCATCTAGTTCCAACCCCCTGCAATGCAGGAATCTTTCACCCAACATGGGGCTCAATTAAGAGTCTCATGCTCTGCCGATGTGCCCTACTTTATCCTGCTCTGTTCTGTTTGTTGCATTTTCTCTCTCACTCCAAATAAATCACATTTTTGCAAAGTTTCCCCAGGGTTCCCTGTGAAGAGGAACTGACAGTTAATCCACTCTGGGAATTGTAGTTCTGTGAAAGCAATAGGGGCCTCCTAACAGCTCTCAACACTTTGCAAACTACAGTTCCCAGGATTCTTTGAGGAAGCAAGGACTGTTCCGAGCGTTATGATACTGCTTTAAATGTAGAGTGCTGGTGGGGCTGTTGATTCAAATGGTGAAGTCAGTTGGACAGCCAGCAGACTGTTGCTTATTACTATTGTGTGTGTTTTTTAATTTTGTGTACAGGTGAGAACCCAGATTCCTCCCTCCCACTTTATGTTCTTCCACTTTACTCCTTGCTGGCACCAGAAAAGCAAGCCAAGGTAATGATTCATTTCCCTGGCTCCTCAGAAAATGTACCCATGAGCTCATTCTCCCAGTATGGATCCTTTATAAAACATCCGTAAACCCATACACAAGAGAATGGTTTGGGCAGGTTTGCAGAAGCCCAAAAAACACCTGAGAACCAGCCCAGTGAGGATCAAGCATGCTCAGTGGGCACAGAATGCTGAGTAGTAGGAATTGGCAGAAAGCTGGCAGAGAGGGGAATAAAATAGAATATCCTGGAAGGAGGGCTTGGCTGGGTAGAGCCCAGAGCACTGGATGCTGCATCACTTGGTTGTATGCCTCACTTGCAGAATTTATAGGTTGTGGGCATCAGTTTCCATATTCCTGGGTGATTTTTCTAGGATCCCCCCCCCCTTTTATTTCTGTACTCCAGGTTTTTAGGCCCCATCCTCCTGGGACCAGGCTCTGTGTTGTAGCAACCAACGTGGCTGAAACATCCCTGACCATCCCAGGCATCAAGTACGTGGTCGACTGTGGGAAGGTCAAGAAACGCTTCTACGACAAAGTCACTGGAGTCTCATCTTTCAGAGTCACCTGGACGTCACAGGCATCTGCCAACCAGCGGGCCGGCCGAGCTGGGCGCACAGAGCCTGGCCACTGTTACAGGTCAGCTGACTTCCCTTCTCTGTAGGAACACAAGAAGCTGCCTTCTGCTGAGTCAAACCGCTGGGCCCTCAAGATCAATATTGTATGCACTGACTGGCAGTGGCAACGCTGATCATTGACTGTAACGACAAATATTTGATTTGACTGGCAGTGGCTTTCCAAGGTTTTAGCCAGGAGCTGTTTTGCTAAATGCAAGTTCTTTTGGATTCAGTGGCAGTAGCACAAGTGGAGAGAAGTTCCTCACTTTTATTAAGTAGCAGGCTTGGATGCAGAATAAAAAGCAGCGAAACAGTCTTTAAGCAGAATAATATAGCATATGCAAGTTAAAATACTTCCCCATTCAGCTATCACGGAATGATAAGGGGGAGACTCCAGCAGCACAGTACACAGCACCCAACAAGATCAAAGCTTGAAGATCAGACCCCACCAGGGAGATTTATACCCCTTAGATCAGGCATAGGCAAACTTGGCCCTCCAGTTGTTTTGGGACTACAACTCCCATCATCCCTGACCACTGGTTCTGTTAGCTAGGGATGAGTTGTAGTCCCAAAACAACTGGAGGGCCGAGTTTGCCTGTGCCTGCCTTAGATCCAGAGTGGCCAAGTGCTGGCTGGCCTAATATCTAAATTCCTTCCACCTGTTAAGCTAGGCAAATATACAGGGCCAGGGTTGTTAGTTGATCCTGCAGCCGCACCATTGCTGACAGGCACTCAAGCTTCAGCTACAAGTGGATCTTTCCACATCCCAGAAGCACAAGCAGCAAATCAAGAGCATAAAGCAAACCAAAAACCCTTGACAATAAGCATGGGGGAATAATTGTACGAACCAATTAACCTGTCTCCTCAGAATACAAAATTCTTCAGCATTAGGTTTCCTCTACAGGAGCCCTTCTCAGCCCTGTCTAGAGATCCCAAGGATCGAACCTGGGACCTTCTGCACTCAAAGCAGATGCTCTACCACTGGGCTATGGCCCTTTCCCAAAGTCAAAGGGCTGCAATTTCAGTGGGTAATGCAGAAGATCCCAGGTCCAGTCCCCGGTGGCATTTCCAGGTAGGGCTGCAAATGACTCCTTACCAGAAACCCCAGAGAGCCTCTGCCAGTCCGTGTGGACAGTCGTGAGCTAGGGGGACCCATTGGTCTGCCTCAGTAGAAGGTCGTTTTCTATCTCCCTGTGTAAAAGAGCCCCCAACTGTTTACATTCTAGCAGGACATTATTTTTAAAAAATGCATCTTTAAGAACCAATACCAGTGTTTGCTTGATTTCCTTTTCCTGCCTTTTCCCATTTTTCTTTTATGTTGTGTGATCCTAAAACCGCTGGTCCATCTATCTCAATATTGTTTACACTGACTGGCAGGAGCTCTCCTGGGTTTCAGACAGCTAGAATGCAGCACCCCTGCACAATCCAGGAGGCTCACATCTCTAGCTGGTCTCAACAGTTGGGAGCAAAAGCTGTGTAGTAGTAGTATATTTCTGAAGCCTTCTAGGCAGCTGCTAATCCCCCTGCCCTCGGCTTCCTCTCTTGTTTTGTTCTAGGCTTTACTCTTCGGCTGTCTTCAGTGACTTTGAGAAGTTCACTTCTCCTGAGATTACCAGGCGACCTGTTGAAGATTTAATCCTGCAAATGAAAGCGCTAAACATTGAAAAGGTGGGAGTCTATTTAGGGCAGCCTTCCTTCTGCAACATGGATTATGTCATTCCCGTCTAAGTTGGCCATGCTGCCTGGGTTTGATGGGAGTTGTAGTTCAAAACCGGAGGGCGCCGCATGGTGGGGAAGGGCTTCGAACTAGATGGGACACCAACATAGGAAGCTGCCTTATACTGAATCAGGCCATTGATTGCTCCATCTATCCCAGGGTTGTCAACACTGACTGGCAGCCGCTCTCTCGGGTTTCAGGCATGGTTCTCTCCCAGCCCTGCCTGGAGATGCCATTGGGGGCTGAACTTGGGATCTCCTGCATGCAAGGCAGCTGCTCTGCCTCGGAGCTACAGCCCTTCCCCACCAATCACCCGGCTCCTTTTTGAAAAATAGATTGCAGGTGTGGGGAGCGTTAACCCTTTGGTTCCACTATGGGAGCTTTCCCACCATGCAAATTGCAGGTGCAAGGATCAAGTCAAAGGGTTAAATTAGCCTATCGTCACCAGTGGTCAGGGAGGAAGTAGACCCCCACAGATTTATGTTTGATTGTGACTCTATGTGGGTCATCATTCTGAAACCTAGAAACTGCCTCGGAGACAAAGCCTATTTAATGATTTTGTGTGTATATAATATTTAATTTTCTTTTTGTTAGAAAAAGAGAAAGCTAACTTTCGAAAGATTGCTATTCTAATTAGCACAAGAAAAAGGTTTAGATCTGGACTCCCTCGGGAGGCTGTGGCCTCTCCTTCCTTGGAGGTTCTTAAGCAGAGCTTGGGTGGCCGTCTGTCTTGGGTGGCCCCCTGCATTTCAGGGGGTCGGACTAGTTAACCCTGGGGGTTCCTTCCAACTCTATGATTCTGTAATTCCACAATTCTGTGATTCTGCTGAAACCCCCAGGTAATATTGGCCCACCCTCTAAAATAATTTGGTCAGCAGCCTGCCTGCCCCCCCCCCCCCGCTCTTTGGTGAATTCCAGCACTGCTGAAGTTGTAAGGTGGCTTGCAGACAGATGGGGATGGGCAATTGTTTATTAATAGCAGCAAATCCCCCCCTCCCCTTTTGAATTATGCTGCTGGGAAGAAGAAATCTGTAGTGAGGTTAAGGTAGGAGTTTGTTGGGGTGGGGGAAGAACCAGGAGTGGATTTTTGTGTCGCAGGAGCTTATGCTACGTTCTGGTACTAAAACCACATTTCTGCACTGGGCATGCATGCGCACTGAGGCACCCCATTTCTTGACCAGTGTTCCGCACCTGGGTCTGGTCAGTGGATCTCTGGGTTCTAGTGGTGGTGATGATGTGAGTAGACCCCACAAGCCTGAAGTTATTCCGTGCCCATCTTACTCAGTTCTTGGGCATCTCACCTGTTCATGCCAGGTGTGTCGTCCTCTTTGTGTTTGCAGGTGGTCAATTTTCCCTTTCCTACACCCCCGCCGCTGGAAGCGCTAGTTGCTGCTGAGGAGCTGTTGATAGCCCTTGGAGCCTTGCAGGAACCCTCCAAATCTGGAAGGTAGACTTTTTACTGATTGTTGCTGTCTTTGTTGCTTTTTTGAAAACCAAGTTGAACTACGCCGGTTGGTGGATTGTGCTTTCTCTCTTTTCTCCCACTGTGCAGAGCCATCCCTCCCATTGGATAGAGTGGGATGGCCATCTTGCACAGTTCTTTTGAGCTGCCATGAAAGAGCAGAAAAATTATGTTTTTGTTTTACAACTGCATAAATCATACCATTGCCTGAGGCCATCAAAGCAGTGAACAACATGATAAACGAAATAAATAGCACACCAAAAATGCAAATTCTAAAAGCAACATTTGGAGGGCACTAAGTCAAGAGAGGCCTGGCCTAGGAATTGACTCCTGTTCCCTTCTTCCAGGCTGAAAAAGTTGCAAGAAGCAAAGCTGACCTGCCCCATCAGCCCCCTGGGGGCCACAATGGCAGCCTTTCCTGTGGCTCCCCGTTACGCAAAGATGCTTGCCTTGAGCAAACAGCAGGACTGCCTCCCATATGTCATCACCTTAGTGTCAGCCCTGACGGTTCGGGAACTCTTTGAAGAGTTTAACAGGTGAGCGTTCCCCCAACAGAAGTGCTGGGCGTTGGCTCCATGTCTGTGTCTGCTGTTTGCTGCCCTGGACTCCTTTGGGAAGAATGGTGGGGTGGAAGGAAACAAACAAACAAACAAACAAACAAACAAACAAACAAACTTGCCACTCTCTGAACTGGTGGCCCAAAGGAATGATCCCCTTTGGTGTGGTCCCGTTGGTGGTAGTTCATTGGCAGTAAAGAATTGCACCTCTGAAAGTTGTTGCAATTCCTCTCACTGTGCTGCTGAGGACACACAGCCCATGGTCACCCTGTGATGAATAATGGTAGCCTCCAGCTGAGCACATAAGTTGTACATAAGTTGCTTCTGTTTTTTTAGTACAAGTCACAAATTTAATAAAACAAGTATATGTGGTAGAGATTCAGCAGTGTCCTGCACTGCAATCCTATGCATGTCTACTCATAAATTTGGAAAGATGTATCAGTCTATTTCTGTTCAGTGTCAGTTCTGCATGCACCCAAGCATAGTTCTGTCCTTTTTTTGCAGCTTTTAAAAAGCATGCAGGGAAAACTTGCATTTAAATTGTACACAGGTTCCTTAAAGTGCACACTTTGTATGCATTCTTTCCGTAAAGTAATGCATTTTTTGGGCTTTGTCATTGCACTTCCCCCTAAAATATGTATTTCCGATAAAATACTGATTTTCGGATGCATTTTTTTGAACCCTAAAATAATTTTTTTGCATCGCAAAATTTGGAGAAATACTGATCTGATTGATAGCTGTGCTCCAATCCACTTATAAGTCTGGGGCAATTGAATTGGTGAGTTTGTGTCTACCAGATTTGCCCTCCATCCTTATTTGAAACCAGGCGCTTATACCCAGGAAAGAATGTATAGGATTGCACTAAGGATGTGCAGAGCCAGCACTCATGTAAGTTCATATACACCCTGCCCAGAGGCTTGGGATCTTCTGCTTGAGTTATGCCACGCTCTTGTTATGGATGTGTGTTAACCCTTGACCTTATGCCCACAAGAAGCTCTCTCACAAAGAAATGAAGAAAGCTTGGTTTATTATATAAAACAGGAGTAGCAGAAAATATATAAAAATGCTGCTTTAGGCAGCAGAGTTACAGCCTAAACAGGTAGCAAAAGACATACCTTGAAGAGTAAAAGATTCCAGGACTGGATACCTTTTTATTAGTATTTAAACAACTATTATAGCAAGATGAAAATACAAGCAGGATTTGAAATATGAGCATCAGCATTAATTATTAAGATAAATACAGTAGATTAAAATGGATGCATTGAATAGTATATGTGAAACATGCAGCATCTAAGGGTAAATATTGCAACCATGGAAGGGAGGGTGGGAAGTTCACAGAGAAAGTAATATATGGTCCTTTTTGTTTTGCTTGGGATTTTTTGTGTGAAAAATCAATAAATAAGATTTACCCAAAATAAGAATAATAAAGAGTAAATGATTCCCAAACTATTCTAAGAAGCCTACAGATGCAAGGGCAGAGACAGTTTGTCATAAACCCACACTAGAAGGGGGGGGGGAGTTTACCTGTCCTTAAGGCGAAGCAGACATCTGCTGAGTCCTGGGAGCGCTGGGCGAGTTCTGTCCTCTTGGAGGCATGCGAGCTAACTAACTTTGAATCGTTTCGCCAGGCATGCCAGCGGAAAGGGCAGGGGGCTGTGGACTGAGGGATTCCTACAATTTCCATAATGCCTTTCAGACTACGTAGTAAGAAATGGTTAAAACTGGCCATTGTGTTTGTTTAACCAAAGGCTGAAAGACAGAGGGACATTTTCTGAACCTGGGCATCCCTGCTACCTGCCCTCCAATCACACAACCATTGAGGACCATTGAGGAGTATCCTGTACTTGAAAATAAATTTGTATGTGTTAACCTTTAAGTCAGATGTGTGAACTCAGGATATTCGTGAACTCTTTCAGCAGGTGGCTGGAATCAGGCTTGATTCATGGTTACTGGAGTTCATCAGAGAGTGTCTCATGTCATATGAGAGTCCTGTCAATCTTATATTTACGCCACGATCTACTGAGATAAACCATATCATAAGTTCAGGTTCACACACCCCTCCTCGCAATGGGAAGAGAGTTTTCTGAAATTGCCTTTGCTGAGGGATCCTGGTGCATGCTGGGTTGTGCCTTACATTTGCTGCAGGCCTGCCACTAGCGAGGAAGAGCAGGAGACGCTCAAGGGGAAAAGGGCACGTGTGGTGCAGATGCAGCGGATCTGGGCTGGACAAGGGCCCTCTCAGAAACTGGGAGACCTCATGGTAATGCTAGGTACGCTCTTCTGCTCTCCCTTTATCTTTCCGTAGTTTTTAATTGTGCGTTGGTTTTGGCTGAATTCCTCACACGATGCTGCCTTTCTATTCCAGGAGCTGTCGGCGCCTGTGAGTATGCTGGGTGCACGCCTAAGTTCTGTGAGGCAAACGGCCTACGCTACAAAGCCATGGTGGAAATCAGGCGCTTGCGTGGGCAGCTGACAACTGCAGGTAAATACCCCGGGAGCCAGTTGTTGTTTTCTGCCTCTACGGAATAAGCCACATTTGTCCTTTGTTGGGGGGACGCCAAAGAATCAGCTCTGTTCTTCCTTCCTTCCTTTTTCCTTTTCTTAACATTTAATAATTTTTATTATGCTGTTTTACAATAAAAAACATGCATGAAAACACAAGATTTTGGGATGTCCCGTTCTTGAAAGGCCTTCCACTTATACAGTGGAACTTCCCTTCTCCATGTCTCCTCCCTGTTTCCCCGCGTCTGCTATGGAGGGCTGGGGAAAAGCCCAGAAGAGATTCAGTGGGCACTCTGGTGTAACAGAGGCAGGGAAGGTCCATTGTGCAAATAGGAAGAGTTTGTGGGGTAGAACCTTTTTTTTCTTTCTCCCTAATATAACACTGTATATATCTTTAGCATGATAAGTACAGTCGTACCTTGGATCCCGTACGCCTTGTGACTCAAACGTTTGGCTCCCGAACGCTGCAAACACGGAAGTGAGTGTTCCGGTTTGCAAACCTTTTTTGGAAGTCAAACGTCTTCCGCGGCTTCCAGTTGAGTGCAGGAAGCTGTTGGGGCCTAATGTCCAGAAAAATACTTCTTGAAATGTTGCTTTCCTTTCACTCATTTTCCTTGCATTCCTTGTTTGCGATGTTCAAACTGAGCCAAAGTGTTTTGTGACACCTTAAAAAGACTCACTAATTGATTGTGACACTTATTTCCTCCACATGTGCCCATCCAATTGGCAGAATAGTCACTACTGCAGGTGCCACGTAATAACTTTCCCAAATTTGTAATAATTTGATCATGTGGCAGCCCCTTCACTTTGCAACTCCCTGCCTATTGAGACCAGGCAGGTGCCTTCATTGTATTATTTTCAGCACCTGCTTAAAACATTCTTGTTTAGACAAGCCTTCCCAGATGCTTAGAAAGTTGAGGTAATTTTAATCTGTTTTAGTATTTATACTTTAGGATGTTTTAAAGTATGGTTGTGTTTTTTTCTTTTTCTTTTACTGTTTTATCTCTTGTAAATCTCTTTGAGTGTTTTTTAAATAATTAAGCGGTGTATACATTTTATGAAGTAGATATATTTTCCCCATGGGATATCTCCTCCCCTGGGAGCCTCCCCCAAATTTGAAAACAGGTCTTGCTTCCGTGCTGGGTTGCTGCATAAGCTGTTGTTGCTTTTCCTTCAGTTGTCCTTTGCTTTTGCCCATTTGTTATTTTTCTGAGTTTTGTACAGAGGCTGCTCCTCAGTCACAACCTAGGCCATGTTAACTTAGCCTGGCCTCCTGATTTTTGACCTGTTTCTTCCCTTTGCTGCAAGTGAATTCAGTCTGCTCGGACACCGGCTTCTTTGTTGACCCCAAAATGAAGCCCCCATCAGAAGCCCAGGTGACTTTCCTGAGGCAGATAGTCTTGGCCGGCCTGGGAGACCACGTTGCCCGGAAGATCCAAGCTGAGGAGCTCCTAGATGAGAAGTGGAAAAATGGTTACAAAGTACGTGCAGCTCAGTTTATTCCCTTTGGATCATTTATGACAAGAATTGGGAACCCTTTTTGGTCTGAGGGCCACAGGCCAGTGGTGGTCAGTGGTCAGTTCTTCTCCTGACCAAGCACCTCAGACTGTGTCTCTGTCTTGGTGGCTTTCCTCTGATGTGAAGTTCTTTTTATTATTGGTCTGCTTTTACTATTGTCTTCAACCATATCTTAGTAATTTTGGGTGGACTGCCTTTTTCATTAATCACCGGTCTCCTGGTAATTTATTTGTGAGGAGTGTTTTGTAACTGTATTTCTTTAAAAATGACTTGAAAGAGTTTAATCTCAAAGGTGCCCTGTAGGTATTTTACATATGTTACTTATGCGTCTCCACTCCTCCACTTGCAGCTGCTGGGTGACCTTGGGCCAGTCACGCTTCCTTGAAGTCTCTCAGCCCCACTCACCTCACAGAGTGTTTGTTGTGGGGGAGGAAGGGAAAGGAGAATGTTAGCCGCTTTGAGACTCCTTAAAGGGAGTGAAAGGCGGGATATCAAATCCAAACTCTTCTCTTCTTCTTCTAATTTAAGGATTTCAGAGTGCTGCCGGGGGGGGGGGGCGGGTTGAGGTGGCAGGTGATAGCAAAAGCTATCCCCCCTGCTGTTCTGTTGGGTTGGACTAGATGACCCCTGGGTTCCTCCCAGCTGTACAGTTCTGCGATTGCTGAGCTCCACACTTGTCCCTGTCAGAGCGTAGAGCACTTTGTGCCCCTTAAGGCGCCCCATAACTGTTGGTGGAGTAAGAGTCAACAGCTAATCCAGTCAGCTTTGCATGTTGAATTGGCAAGGGATTCTACTTTTGTGGCTTTTTTTGCTAAAGCCCAAAGGTCTGCCCCTTTAGAACCAAGTGCAAAATAGTGCTTGATTTGACAAGGGCCAAACAGCGACTCGTGCAAAGATGCAACCAGAGAAGCTGTGCTCTTGCATTGGCCACAGTCGCTTGATCTGTCAGGTTCCGGGCAGAAAAACAAAACGTCTTTTGTTCCATTAATGGACCTTGTGCCTTCCTGCTTTTGGAACCTTCCTGGTCTCTAAAGTATTGAGTTTGTTTTTATTTGTTTTGCTTTCTTCCTTCTCCACACACTGCCATCTCTTGCTGCACCTCGCCAACCCAGACTCCTCTTCTGGACGATCCAGTCTTCATCCACCCCAATTCCGTCCTCTTCAAGCAGCTCCCTGAGTTTGTGGTGTATCAGGAGATTGTTGAAACCACAAAAATGTACATGAAAGGTGAAATCAACTCCTTTCCCCTTGCTCTCCTCTTGAGAATAATCCTAAAGAATCAACCCAAAGGCTCCTTTATCCCAGCACCCTCTTTGCCTCAGTGTCCAGCCAGATGCCTCTGCCAGAAAGCTCCCTGCTGTTAACTGCCTGGCAACTTGTTCTGGAGATAGACTGCCTCTGAAACGAAGATTTTATTTACCTATCATGGCTCAATAGTCATTGATAGGTTCCTCCTCCTCCTCCTGGAGTTGCTCTTAATGCAGCTGTGGGAAGCCTCTGGCCCTCCAGATGTCACTAAACTACAGTTCCCATCATCCCTGGCCATTGGCCATGCTTCCTGGTGCCTATGGGAGTTGTAGTTCAAGCAACATCTGGAGGGCCAAAGGATTCCCATCACCTTACTTGTGTGTCACATAGCATGCCTACAGAAATGAGCAGTTTAGGGTGGGCTGTGAGAGCTTTGCAGTGGCTTAAATGCACTGACGATTATTTTTCCTTTTAAAGTTGAGATTGTATGAAGTACAACTTAGTGGCTTTTATGCAGTGTCCCTACAGACTCTTAGAGGAGCCTTAGAAGTTTTATCATAGGCTCTTCAATAAGAGAGATCAGTGGGAGCAGACAAGTGGCACACAAGAATGGACACTTGCGCTTGCCAGTAGTCCCAGCACATAGCTGTGAGAGAGTGCTCACAGGCCTGGACTCAGCACTTTACAGCTTTAGGCAACAGCCAGGGACCTTAATGGGGCCTACTGCGTTTTATTATTGTGTTTCTCTAACAGCAAGGTTTTAAACTGTATTTTAAATTGTGGTAACCTGCCCTGGGACCTTAGGATATTACCTTAGGGCAGGTAATAAATGGGATAGGGGCTAAGCAATAATAATGTGGGGAGCCCTACACCAGGCGGCTGGCTCTGAGATACTGCCATTTTAAATTTCCCACAATGCCCTGGGGTGTTTGGCGTTTCTCCAGGGCATTGTGGGAAACGTTAACAGCAGCTTCCTGGACCACCTACCATTGTTGCCAGGTAAACCTGCAGCACTTAAAAAGGCAGTTCAGTAAAAGCCCCTCACGGCTCCCCAGAACCGTCTTTAACTGGTCACTTTTGCTCTCCTTAAGGTGTCTCAGCCATTGAACCAGAATGGATCCCGCTCCTTTTGCCTCCATACTGCCACTTCGAAAAACCTCTGGAAAGCCGCCCTCCTTTTTACTGCCCTGAAACGGGTCGGGTTCGATGCCACAGACAGAGTGTCTTCTGTAAGTTTCTCAAGAACAGCTTGGCTTGGATGGGAAGCGGATTTGTTCCTAAATCCACATTAGGAGAATACTGTCATCATGGCAACCGCAATATCACAAGCTTTTGCATTCTCCAGGAGTCTTTGGGGTTGCAGCCAGTGTTAATCCTACTCAGAGGAAACCTACTGAAAATAATGGACATGGCATAACTTAGGTTCGGTATTTCAGTGTATCTACTCTTGAGTAAAACAATCCTTTCTCAGGGTAGGTCAGGGATAGCCAATGTGCTGCTCCAGCTCCCATCGGCCGCATCCAGCATTGACAGGGGTTAGGGATGATGGGGGTTGGAGTCCAACAGCGTCTGGAGGGCGCCAGGTCAAAAAAGGCAGGTCTAGGAAATGGCTCCCATTCCCATCAGGGTTTCTTAATATGAAAGCCCCAGAGTCTACATCATGTCACAGTCTTCAGGCATAAGGGGGTGGGGAGCAGGGATGGGATAGCAGACATTCAGGGGGGACTTGTGTAAGGATCGGGTTGGGAACAAGAAGCAAAATAATACCTGAGCCCCCATCTGTGAAAACACAGAACTGGCTGGCACTCACCAGGTTTATTGTTGTTGCACAAAAAGCACCTGTGCTACAAAGGTTTTGCTAACAATATACACTTGAAATAGAAGTTCTGCTATGAGGATTCCCACTTAGGTATTTCTAGCTGCCATTCATGTCCTTCAAACCTCACCCATGGGTAGGAGGGGATGAGTGCCAGGGCTGGCCTACCCAGGAGGCAGCAGCCTCAAACAGCAAGCTCCACAGGGGCAGCAGGTCCAGCCTCCAAGGAAGGCATCTCCCGCTGCAGCCACCACAGGGGCAGCAAGAGCTGCTTGGAGGCCGGAGCTGCCTCTGCCTCAGCAGCCCCACCCCTGCTTCCTCTAGAACAGCCTCTCAGCAAATAGTAGGCGCTGCTGGTCTCCCCCCTTTCTTCTCACCTGCCTAGCATGGTTCAAAGCAGGGTCCTTCCCTGCAGTGCTCCTTGATTCCCACTTCAGCCATCAGGTAGGGTTGGTTTGATTGCTCCCCTTGTAAATCTTCACTCTGCCCTTGTTTCCTGGCAGTGGTGCAGGGGGGGGGGCATTTTGTGGTTTTCCTTAGGTGCCAAATGTCTTAGGCTGGCCCTGCACACAAACAAGAGCCAGCTTGCAATCTGGAGACTCCACCGCCCTTCTCCTTCCCTCCCGCCTACTCAGCCTTCTGCTGAGAGAAGCAAAATGAAGAGGATGAGTGTGGATTAGTGCCTTAACAAAGTCTTGTAACCTCTCTGCAGATCGGGTAGGCTGGCAGCTTCCTGCTGTAGAAGTGGATTACCCAGAAGGCCTTGAGTGCTACAAATATTTCACCAAGTTCTTATTGGAAGGGAAGGTAAGAACATTTTTCTCCACCTAATTCCTTGTGTTTATATATCTATGTATATTACAGTATTTTCATTGCTGTTGTTAGGATTCTTAATGTATAGATTTTGTTAGTTAAACAACTCCTTGCTAGGAGTACACCTTTAGCTGAAATGTATTCAGACTGAGACTTGGCATAAAATAAGAAAACTTATGTTTATTAAAGGAAGTGCATTACTGATAGGAAGCAATTATATAGTCCTAGCTAGGTTTCTCCAACTAGGTTGGAGGCCATGCTTGCCTCTTTGCTCTCAGAAGACAGATCCAAGATGACCTCCCACCTCCCAGAGTGAGAGGAAGAGCAAGTGCAGGAACTTGTAAACAGGATGCAACCTAAGACTATCAGTATAAACATCAAAGAGATAATGAGAAGTCAGCATAGTGATGAAGGTATAGGGGTAGTTTGGGGAGCTGGAGATCCCTGCCTCTGTCTGTCTTAACCCACACAATCCCCTCTGGGTGCTGAGTTGCACCTAAATGTCCAACGAGGATTTTGCAAGACATCCTGCGAATTATATTGAAAGGTGGGCTGTGAGTACCTGAAATGAAACAATGAATTCTAATGCCCATTTTCAACAAGCAAATTAATCAGAGCCTCAGTGTTTTACAGCTCATTGCCTTAAGGTTCCTTGAAACGCATGGTGGCTCTAAAATTGAATATAAAGCTTGTTCCTTCTTTTAGGTTGTTAAAAAACTGGCTGCTTACAGCTGCTGCTTGTTGTCCAGTCCAGTGACAATGCTGAAAACGTGGTCCAGGTAAGTTGTTGTTTTCTGTACTGCTTTATATTTTTCAGGAAAAAACCACCTCATTAAAGCATTCAATAAAACAATCCAGAATAAAGCATTATTGAAGAAAGTCAAATAAAAAGTATACATTCAAAGCAACATAATAAACACAGGACTTGGTTTGCAGCAAGGGGAAAACGAAGCCGGTGTTTCTACCACAGCGAACCAGCTGCTGTTTTTGGGTGTCAGAAAAGGTTATTTAACTGCAGCCCATGTTTTGTTAGCCCCAAAATCGAAAGTGAGCAAGGTCCAAGCTAAAGAGGATTGGCAACTTAGGTTGACGGAATATGCAGAACTTGCAGACTTAACACATAGAATAAGAGAGCAAGAAGAACAGATATGTAAAGAAGAGTGGAAAACATTTATTGAACATATGGAAAATAGCTATACTATTGTTTGCTTTGCTGGGCCTGTTAGCCCACCCCCCACCTGTGCAGGAACACGCTGGCTTAGCAGCCCCCAGCAGGACTGATTGCTGCTCTTTGCAGTGCGACCGGGTGGAGAGAGCGAAGGCGACACAGCATCTCCTTCCCTGCCCCCTCCCAACCAGACAGGATTTTAAAAACCCTAGTTAAACATTTCCCACCCCAGTCGATTTGGGGCTGGATCTGCGTAAGGAATTCCTGAAGTCAGCTCAGATGGGGGGGGAGGGGAGTGAGGGGCCTACACAGCCATAGAAACTAACAAATTGCATTACCTGTTTATAGAACTCAGTATTTTTTGGTTTCTTAGAATAACTGAACAATGCTGGGTGCTTTCATACAGTCTTCAATGCATTTCTTTGTCAGTTCACTATGCATTTGGACACCTCTTAAGATAATGCAATCTAATTTTGCATTATAGTTCCCAAGGTCAAGGTGCAGATTATCATCTGTTTGGCTACAGTTAGACATTATTTTGAATCAAGATAGCAGACTGGACCTTTCAGAACTTCACTGATTTAAACCACACTGTTTTGGGGGGAAGGCAGGTTGCGCCTGGAGAAACAGGGCACAGGAGGCTGAAGGTAATAAATAAAAATCCAGATTTCTCCTGGGACCATATTGTATCTGAGCAGGGGGAGAGTTTTACTGAGAACTGAGCCATTTGAGTTCCTTCAGAATTTTGAGCGTACATTTAATCTATGTGCTGATTTTTGCCTGTCTGCTTTGGGAATCCCTGCAGGCTGCAACCAAGGACAGAGTCACTGCTGCAAGCTCTTGTCTCTGAAAATGTGGATAACAGGGATGCTTTACTTGCTGCCTGGAAGAAGAACCCAAAATGTAAGCTGTTCAGATGTACGAGGAGCACACTTCATTATTCTTGTGGATCTATTTTAACTTTATTTTTGAGCCACATCAACCTTCTACCCAAACTGTGTGTGAGTGAGAGTTCTCCCTTGGAAGTATGTTGCAGCATCCTGGGCCTCTAGCCCCAGGAATGTAGACCTGTGGTCCTGCAGATGTGCTGGAACTACATCTGCCCTCATGCCTGACCAGTGGCCCATGGCGGCTAGGGCTTCTGGGAGTTGTAGGCCAACAGCAACTGGTTCCCCCTTTGCTGCTTGCAAACAAACAATCCAAAACTATTTCCTCCCAAATATTTCTGTGTCCAGTGTTAGAATTTCTAAAGCAACTTTTAAGAATAGCTCATGGAGGTAGGTCACCCACTGTACTCTGCTATGGTGTTTGGAGTCCGGGTGACGTCACAGTAGCAATCAGTTACTTGTGGTTTTGAAGATGAGCACAGGAATTTGTTACCTGTCTGCCTGGAGCAGGCCTTCATAGTTTATATGCGATAGTAGGGATCATTGCTAGATATGCCACCATACTAGACGATGGGGGCAGAGACTTGGCGTTTGGCCCTGGCATGGCCTAACTGTGACTATTCAGCCAGCAGCATTGTTATGTCTGCCACACACCAGTTGGATTTTGCAGAGTACAGTACAATTTGCTCTGTGGCTTCAGGGTTTTTTTGATGGTTCATTTATAATATTTGTTAGCCCCCACTCCTTCCATCAGAACATTCCAAATTGGATTATAGAAGTGTGAAAAACAGAATAATCTGCACAACACTCAGACACCTATGAAGCATCATCTGTTAGTTGCTTCAGATGTCATGTGAAGACTTACCTCTTTTTGCCCAGACTTCCCTTGACCCATAAGTTTGCACTCTGTTTCTGAAATTCTGTTTTTTAAGTGTTCACTCTTTGATGGTTGCCCCCCTGCCCTTCTCTTTTTAAAGATTTGTTGTCAGAATATTGCCAGTGGATCCCGGAAGTTACACACCAACAGGTATCTAAAATCTGGCCACCCTTGCCACCATGATCTTTCATGCAAGCTCCTACCATCCACCCTGTCCTGGAACCAGCGCCGGCTGCGAAAACACAAGGAGAATCGATGTCTGTATTTGAATGGAAAGAGAGAGTTCATTCTCAAGGAGCAGGAAGCAGGATCAGTTTCCTCCTAAGGAGCACCCCGCCCATGATCCATGCAGGCCCACTGCATTTTGGACTCCCACATGCAAAGGATGGGGGGTTGGATTGACTGTGAAGCTGTCATGGGTGGGTGTGTTTGTAACAGGAATTACCAACTTATGTTGGCTCATGGGCACATTTTGGAGGCAGTCACTTCTCTCCACACCACCTGCTTAGCTCTTGTCAAGTTGCCTTTCCCTGTCCCTTCAGGAAGCTAGTGGTCAGGGATGGTGGGAATCAGATATCCAGATGTTTCTGGACTTGTAACTCCCATCATCCTTGGCTGCTGGTCATCCTGGCTGGGGTGGATGGGAGTTTAGCATCCAGCAGCTTTATACCACAAACCACCCTGTGATCTTTGGATGAAGGATGGTATAGAAATTTAATATATAGCAACAACCACCACCATCCTGGGTAGCTCATTTGGTTAGAGGGTTGGTGGTGCTGATAATGCCAAGGTTTCAGGTTTGCTCCCCATATGGGACAGAGGCATATTCCTTCATTGCAGGGGGTTGGACTAGATGATCCTTAGGGTCGTTTCCAACTTCACAATTCTATGATTCCATGACTCATTTCTGGAAAACTGCTGAGCCACCATTACTGTGCCTTATTTCTGTTGAACCCACCGTCATGGGAGCTTTGGGTGTGTATGTGTTGATATATATATATATATTTGCTTTCGTAGATTTTCACGGGTACAGGAATGCAGGTTTTGGTGTCCTCGGGTGTCTTCCCGTGTAAAAGTTGGGGTGTCTAGGCGACGTTTCGACGAGGTCTCACTCGTCATCTTCAGGCTGGTGCTTTCGGCTTCTAGTTACTGGAACAGAGCTCTGTTCCAGTAACTAGAAGCCGAAAGCACCAGCCTGAAGATGACGAGTGAGACCTCGTCGAAACGTCGCCTAGACACCCCAACTTTTACACGGGAAGACACCCGAGGACACCAAAATACGAAAGCAAATATATATATATATATATATATATTGCCCTGTGTTTGTAAAAAATAACAATTGTGTAATAGTGATATCAATGAATTTTTCTGGAGAGAAAGTCTGGCCTCATTATTGTTTTTCTACTCCGTTGTGTTTTGCCATCTCTGGACTCTGTCTCCTCTCTCTGTTTCCTGATGCTCAGGGCATCTTCCTTCTCCAACCTGGTGCCCTCCAGGTGTGGATACAGCTCCCATCAGCCCCTGCCAGCACAGCCAATGGTTAGGGGTTAGAGGAGTAATAATCCAAAACATATGGAGGGCACCAGGTTGGAGGGCAAGGCTAGTTCAGGCTGTGAGTGCTCATATAGCCAAAACGGCACCACCCCCATCCAAGAAAATAAGTTATGGGTAAGTGTGGGCAGGAGAGAACCCTGTGTGAAGGGTTGGGGGACAATCCTCAGACCATCCCAGTGAGGATTAAGCGTTCTTAGCTACAGAAAGCTAAGTGACTGAAGGATTGGAACAGAAAAGCAGGTGGGGGGTGGTGGAATGAAATGTCTGAAATACTGAGCAGGGCTTCAGCTCCATGTTACAACATTTTCTTGTAGGTTTCCCTATTTGCTCCTCTTGTTTCTGATTCTCAAGTCTGCAAGTGCTGTTCCTTACGTAGGCCAGAACAGCACACAAGAGGTAGCTGGAGCAGCCTGGAGAAGAGGAGGCAGTTCCCCTTCCCCAAAAAACAATGTGACTAGTGGGGTGCCACAGGGTTCTGTCTTGGGCCCGGTCTTATTCAACATCTTTATCAAGGACTTGGATGATGGACTCAAGGGCATCCTGATCAAATTTGCAGATGACACCAAACTGGGAGGGGTGGCTAACACCCCAGAGGACAGGATCACACTTCAAAACGACCTTGACAGATTAGAGAACTGGGCCAAAACAAACAAGATGAACTTTAACAGGGAGAAATGTAAAGTATTGCACTTGGGCAAAAAAAATGAGAGGCACAAATACAAGATGGGGGACACCTGGCTTGAGAGCAGTACATGTGAAAAGGATCTAGGAGTCTTGGTTGACCACAAACTTGACATGAGCCAACAGTGTGACGCGGCAGCTAAAAAAGCCAATGCAATTCTGGGCTGCATCAATAGGAGTATAGCATCTAGATCAAGGGAAGTAATAGTGCCACTGTATTCTGCTCTGGTCAGACCTCACCTGGAGTACTGTGTCCAGTTCTGGGCACCACAGTTCAAGAAGGACACTGACAAACTGGAACGTGTCCAGAGGAGGGCAGCCAAAATGGTCAAAGGCCTGGAAATGATGCCTTATGAGGAACGGCTAAGGGAGCTGGGCATGTTTAGCCTGGAGAAGAGGAGGTTAAGGGGTGATATGATAGCCATGTTCAAATATATAAAAGGATGTCACATAGAGGAGGGAGAAAGGCTGTTTTCTGCTGCTCCAGAGAAGCGGACACGGAGCAATGGATCCAAACTACAAGAAAGAAGATTCCACCTAAACATTAGGAAGAACTTCCTGACAGTAAGAGCTGTTTGACAGTGGAATTTGCTGCCAAGGAGTGTGGTGGAGTCTCCTTCTTTGGAGGTCTTTAAGCAGAGGCTTGACAACCATCTGTCAGGAGTGCTCTGATGGTGTTTCCTGCTTGGCAGGGGGTTGGACTCGATGGCCCTTGTGGTCTCTTCCAACTCTATGATTCTAATGTTCTTAATTACCACAAAGTGAAAGTGGGGAAAATAGAGAAACAGCTGAGAGAGAGATGGGGGTATTGTGGAGGAGGCTGTGACTGGCTGGGACACTGAACAGCAGCTGTTCACACAGTTAAACAAAAATGCAGGAGTACAAATCCTGTCTCACTAAGAGGCAGTTCCTTTCAAATTAAAGGTGCAAAGTTGGGGCAGCAGCGAGGGGGGAGAAGTACTTACCTGGCTTTTATACATGCAGGTCCTGCTATCTTAACTCAGTGCATTCTCGGGAAATTGTTTGTTAGGCAAATATTCATGAAATGAGTCAATGATTTCCATCAGTTCCTATGGGGAAATTTCTAATGTGTTTCTGACACTGGAGTTTTGACCCCCCCAAATGATGAAACTTAGGGGAACCCTCTGAAACTTTTCAGAAGGCAAACAAGAAAGTAAAAAATGCTCTTATTTGTCTAATCTCCCACCATAACTTCTAGTGAAAGGACTGCCATGGACCAGCAAAACACAGGAAAGTAAGGCTTATTTAAGGCTGCTTCTTTCTTTACTATGCACAGGTCTGCCTGTTCAGCTGGTCTGGGCACTAGATCCTCGGCTTTGGATAAGTGAAATTCATGTAACAAGCATTTGGCTGGCGGGAGCAGCATGTAAAGACGATTCCATGCGTGCCTCCCTGGGGAGAGCATTCACAAAGGGGAGAGAGGAGGACGCTGAAAAGGCCTATTACGATGCCTTCCCCCAAAGCCTCCCCTGGACTCAAGGAGGACCTGAGCCCAGGGGCCTTCTGCGTGAAAAGCAGATCCTCTGCCTCTGAAGTACAGCCCCTAGCAGGATGTCTCATGGTGCTTCTGCTGTTACACTTGTTTTATACATGCTGAGAGCCACTGGAAGCACATTGTGGTGAAAACTATTTTATAAATAAAACACCAGAGTCAGGAGAAAAAGAAGCTGGCAAATATGTGGAAACGGGCTTGCCAGATGCTGCAGGAGTACAGATCCCACCATCCCTGACCGTATGCCATCCTGGCTGGGGCATCTCCTGAGTTAAAAAAAATCCCAATCCCTGGATTCAGGGAGTGCTCACAGCAAAGACAAGTCTCTTACTCATGCTTGGGGGTTTGTGAACTTTTATGGCGCAACTGTTTGAAACCATTATTTCCTGTCTCCTCTTAAGTTTTCTGCTAAATATTATGGGCAACCCCAGCAAGAGAAACTGGGTAGTTAAGGTATAGGTAAAGGACCCCTAGACAGTTAATTCCAGTCAAAGGCAACTATGGAGTATGGCGTTCATCTTGCTTTCAGGCCAAGGGAGCCGGCGTTTGTCTGCAGACAGCTTTCCAGGTCATGTGACCAGCAGGACTAAACCACTTCAGGAAACCGTGGTAGAAACCAGAGCGCACAGAAACACCACTTACCTTCCCGTCACAGCAGTAACTATCTACTTGTGCTGGTGTGCTTTCGAACTCCTAGGTTGGCAGGAGCTGGGACAGAGCAATGGGCACTCGCTCTGTTGAGCTGATTCAAACCACCAACCTTGTGGTTGACAAGCTGTGGTCTAAACCGCGGAGCCACCCATGTGTCTTCTCTGTGCACCATACCTTTAAAGCACATAACTTCTCCAAAGAATCCTGGGAACTGTAGTTTCTTATGGGTGATAATAGCTCTATGAGGTTTAAACTACAGTTCCCATGATTCTTCTTGTTCTTAATTGATCAATTAATTGACCTGCACTTCACTCTGAGGTTCTAGGGCAGGTTAGAACATGAAAACATTTACTTTAAATGTATGGTGTATGTACAGTGTATATTCCACTATGCAGGGGAAAGATGGTCTTGAAAGCATCGAACAAAATACATATCAATATATCAATACTTTTTTAAAAAAATTAAGATTGAGACCAATAGTGTGGAGCTGTATCTGCCCAAGTAGACCTTTGTGATTTGGGTAGAAGAATTTGACCACTTTTCTGCAGCATACAAACAATGAAGCAATACTATGCAAAGGTTCATTTTTCTTTTACTGTGCTCTTTAATAGTTGAGTATGCTAATGTTTAATTTCTCTGACAGCCCCCCATCCCTGAATCCTTTGGCACACCATCAACCTTGAAATGAAGATGTACGGTTCCCTGCAGGGTTGGGCAATCTCCAACTGGGCTCCTGCTCCCAATAATTAAGAAATGATTAAATCAAATGGAACTCGGGTTAGCTTTGCTCTTTAGGGGGTGCCACAAGGTTCTGCCTTGTTAGGCTCTGGTAAACCACCTCATTGTG